TTTTTCCACCCATTAAGAACTTTTTTTCTTATTATTGAAAAAAAAGATCATCGATCTCCCTACATAATTTTCTTGGAGTCGGGAAAGGCGGCGATGGATCTTTTATAAGATAGCATAATTTTCTTTTTATTTACATATTATTTTTCAAGAAGATCTTATGCAAAAGTAAAATTCCATTTTTTTTTCTTCAGTTTTTTTTTATTAATTCTATTTCTATATATTCATACCATTAATAATTCATTTGATTATTGTCAAAATTTTCACAAAGATAATAGTAGAAATTGAGATCAGCATACATACATACAGTCATGTAATTTTGTCACAAGCAGAACATTTAAAGAAATATGAAAATTTTGTCATGATAATTCAAGTAAAAGAAAGTAATAATTGAAGGTTTTTATAGCCCTCTGTTTTATTTTAAACCAATTACCAGGTTAAAAACAATGACCACAGTAATTATCAGTAAATATCAGCATCGACAGTACCTCAACAGTAATTATCAGCAATTCTCAGCAACGACAGTACCTCAACACTATTTATCAGTATTTATCAGACTCAACAGTAAAAGTCAACAGTAACTAGTGCTAATTGTAACGGGGACCGTTACAGATGTTCCCCAAACGCTCCCCAACTCCCTTTTGGTGCCATATTCCCTGGAAGCTTCATTAAATTAGACAAACTCTATGCATTTGAGACTTAAAAACGTTTACCCAGAAGTGTACAAAGTTCATTCAAATTTTAGCATTGCACGCGTGCGCATGTGAATGCATGTGCGTAATGACCATATCATCTTGTCTACACAATCTATATATTTTAATATACTTAATATTAAAGTATTTAATCTATAAGTATTAAAAAGATACGCTCATTCAATTGTTTTTTTTTATTTTGCTCATTTCACGTGCACGCACGTGCATACTTTAGCATGGTGACCATACCTTCTTGTAGATGTCCGTTACGTCTATCTATGTTCTAAATCCCACCCCGTTTGGTTGAAAACCAAGGGAGTTGTAGCTGTTTAAAGTTTCAGCCAATCAGATTGCGTGCACGTACATGCACATGTATGCATGTGCATGGTGACCATATTTTCTTGTAGTAGTCCAGTATATCTATCAATGTTCCAAATCCCATCCTGTTTGGTTGAAAATCAAGGGAGTTATAGCTATTTAAAGTTTAAGCCAATCAGATTGCAGCGCACGTGCATGCACGTGTTTTCATGATAATTGCTATATATCATGTTGTAGGATATCCTAATGCATGGCTATTTTTAAAATTTCAAAGGATTTCGTCAAAAAACAAGAAAGATATTGAGACTTTAGTTTCAGCCAATCAGAGCAAAGCGCACGTGCATGCGCGTGAGATCTTGCTATTTCGACCATGTCATATTGTCTATGCTACTAATATATCCTTATATTATAATTTCAAAGCATTTCATCAAAAACTTAAAAAGTTACGCCTATATCAATTAAATCGGTCATTACACATGTTGCACGTGCACGCTCTTGCAAGCACGTGCGCGCAAAATGACCTTCGTTCCGCAAATCTACATAACATGTCTACTGACCCTAAAAACATTTCACCTTAGTCGGATGTATAGTTTACGAGATCATTCCCGGACAAAAAAGTACCCAGGAAGAAGAAGAAGAAAAATAATAATAATAATAAGAAACAGAGTAAAAACAATATGTTCCCCAACTTCGTTTGGGGAACATAATTATCAGTATTTATCAGAAACAACAAACAAGAAGCCCATCGGCCACATCCCTCACCTGAGAAACTTTGAGCATGCTATTCTTAACCAGATTCTCCCCTTGTAATACCTATTGTGACCCCATCGTACCCCCGGGTCATCATTTGGACAATTTAAAATCTACACTACCCCAGGATGCTTCCACATAAGTTTCAGCTTTTCTGGCCCAGTAGTTCTTGTTTTGAGAAGAAGATTTTTACAAGATTTTTCCTACATATTGCTATGTAAAATTTGATTCCCTATTGTGGCCCCGCCAAACCACTGGGGGTCAGGATTTGAATAATTTAGAATCTACACTACCCCAGGATGCTTCCACATAAGTTTCAGCTTTTCTGGCCCAGTGGTTCTTGAGAAGAAGATTTTTTAATGACCCCACCCTATTTTTGTTTTTTCTTGATTATCTCCCCTTGTGAGGGAACATGGCCCTTCCTTTTAACAATTTAAATTCCCCTTCACCCAAGGATGCTTTGTACCAAGTTTGGTCAAAATTGGCCCAGTGGTTCTTGAGAAGAAGTCGAAAATGTGAAAAGTTTACAGACGGACAGACGGACGGACGGACGGACAAAATGTGATCAGAAAAGCTCACTTGAGCCTTCGGCTCAGGTGAGCTAAAAATATCAGCAACAACAGTAATAATAACAGTAAATATTATACTTTCATGTAAATTACTTGAATCTGATTCGTCGAGAAACATTTGATAAAAAACACTACTACCCGCTGAATAATGAAGCCACGCCCTCTTGCGTAGCAACAGTCAACATTGCTTGACGACGGGTGGTATTACAAAAAATAGCGACTGCACGGAATTTATGCGCGCACGTTTCACTGTAATATGTATTTGTATAAAACATTCAGTATAATATAATAAATATTTCATGTAGTTGAGTGTAACATTGAAAATTTTCACCCCTCGGCTGCGCCTCGGTTGACAATGGTTTTCTTGGGGTGAAAATTTTCAATGTTACACTCAACTACATGCAATATTTATATAATATCAGTATTTATCAGCAACAACAGCACCATATCAGTAATTATCAAACTTTATCAGTAAAATTTGGGATTCTCAGCACTTTTTTCGTCCAGTAGTGTTGAGAGTAGCTGTATTATTCCAAAGCTAACAAATCCCCCCGCCCAATGAATCCCACGTATTTTCGATTTAGGATAGAATTAACAGAATCTAGCTGATTTGGTACATGTGAATGTTTGTAAGGAAGTATCTACAAACACTGGCTACATTTTCTCAGCGTGAACATGCTAAAAACAATACGCATACGATGCGTGTGTGAGAGTAAAATCGACGTAAAGTTACCAAGCTTGCGTATCAAATTAGAGCAGAGAGTTTCTGTCAGTATTAGGATGAAAATATGAGTAGGATTGCCTGCTGTAAAAATATTGGTTTCAGTGATAATGACTTGACAATAACCGAGGTAGCATGATGAAAAGCCTTATCTTAATGTGACGTTGCTACGCGCCAACGTCACCGTCATGGTTGATTGGGAAATTTTTTAGTTACTCTCTGACAACCAAAACAAGAGGCCCATGGGCCACATCGCTCACCTGAGAAGCGTTGACCATTCTGTTCTTTACCAGATTTCCCCCTTGTTATACATAATGCATCCCCACCCTACCCCACTGATCATAATTTATACATTTTGAAATCTACACTACCCCATGATCCTTCCATGGGCACATATGTTTCAGCTTTTTTGGCCCAGTGGTTCCTGAGAAGAAGATTTTCAAAGATTTTTCCTATATATTTCTATGTGAAACTTTGATTCCCTATAATGGCCCCGCCCTTCCCCTGGGGGTCATGATTCCTACAATTTAGAATTTACACTACCCCAGAATGCTTCCACATAAGCTTCACTTTTTCTGGCCCAGTGGTTCTTGAGAAGAAGACTTTCAAAGATTTTTCCTATATATTTCTATGTAAAACTTTGATTCCCCATTGTGGCCCCACCCTTCCCCCGGGGGTCATTATTTGAACAATTTAGAATCTACATTATACCAGGATGCTTCCACATAAGTTTCAGCTTTTCTGGCCCAGTGGTTCTTGAGAAGAAGATTTTCAAAGATTTTTCCTATATATTTCTATGTAAAACTTTGATTCCCCATTGTGGCCCCGCCCTTCCCCCGGGGGTCATGATTTGAACAATTTAGAATCTACATTATACCAGGATGCTTCCACATAAGTTTCAGCTTTTCTGGCCCAGTGGTTCTTGAGAAGAAGATTTTCAAAGATTTTTCCTATATATTTCTATGTAAAACTTTGATTCCCCATTGTGGCCCCGCCCTTCCCCCGGGGGTCATGATTTGAACAATTTAGAATCTACACTACCCCAAGATGCTTCCACATAAGATTCAGCTTTACTGGCCCAGTGGTTCTTGAGAAGAAGATTTTTTAATGACCCAACCCTATTTTTGCCTTTTCTTGATTATCTCCCCTTGCGAGGGGATATGTCCCTTAATTTTAACAATTTAAATTCCCCTTCACCCAAGGATGCTTTGTACCAAGTTTGGTCAAAATTGGCCTAGTGGTTCTTGAGAAGAAGTCGAAAATGTGAAAAGTTTACAGATGGACAGACGGACAGACAGACGGACGGACGGACAGACGGACGGACGACGGACAAAATGTGATCAGAAAAGCTCACTTGAGCCTTCGGCTCAGGTGAGCTAAAAACTTTTTGAATTGAAAAGTTAAAAACAAACTGCACAGCAACATGTCGTTGCCTTTTTATTCACTTATGCAGCTCAATTACTTGACCCAATGTAACTTCCGTCAGCCATACCATGATTGCAAGAAATTTATACTGACTGCAAATATCGGAAAACGATGTTTATAACTCTAATGCATCTCTTGGCACTACAAAATGTGATCACAACATTGTCATCATCAACATGCACGTGTATTTGGCTTTTTATCACTTCTCCTACGTGACACCATACATTTCATGGTTGAGTAATTTTGACCAGTGATTTTAGTGCACAGTAACCAAAATACACATCTGATCAATTTTCATAATTTTCGGCCACATACTTAAATATTTTTCGCTTTTATGCTATTATGCGTTTCTTTTTCCTTTCAGTATATTACTATATAGCTTGAATTAAATTATTCAATTAATTAGACTCTCAGCAGAAAATTCATGAAAGAGACAATAAAGATTTATACTTAAACAAAAATTTGAGATCTGAAAAAATATGCCTTATGCGGCTTTGAAGAAAGAAAATCGACAGTATTCATACCTACCCCTGAAATGCATGTGGGATTCACATATTGACAAATAGCCTACACACCATCCAGGAAGTTGCATCATGCGTACCTGAAAAAAGAGTTCCTTTTAATTCAGTGGGATAATTCTGCTACAGATATGATTTTCCTAGTACATGAGTCCAAATTTAATACTGTAATGCCAAAAATGAAAAAAGGAAAAAAATTGTCTCTATATATGTATGGAACTTTAATTGACTAAGTTCATTTTGATTGGCTATTTCCTTGCGTAAGACCTTTAAGACAATTAAAAGTTAATGAAATAAAATGAAAATTGAAGAAAATGTCAAATATTTATTTATCTTTCATATGCTAGTGCCAAAAAATTCATTCTTGTCCTTAAGGGATGAAAAATAGGAGATAACTCTTCCTAACAGTTTATTGAATTTTAATTAGGCTAAATTTCTGTACAGATTCATCTATAGTATATTGATTTCAAAACTTTAAAAAAATTAATGAGTGAATTATTGAGAAAAAAAAGGAATGAAATGAAAGCTGAGATATTGGAGTTTTTGGCTATCTACTAAAAATAATTTTCAACTCTAATTAATGAGCTCTAATTAGCTAAGAAACAGGAAGTTAACTGATTTTTAAGGAATTAATTATCAAACAAGAGGCCCATGGGCCACATCGCTCACCTGAGTAACTTGGGTGATGCAGTTCTTTACCAGATTCCCCCTCTTGCTATACCTATCATGCCCCACTACCCCCTTCCCTTTTATGATTTAAAAACCTTAGAATCTACACTTAGTCTAACCCCAGGATGCTTCCACATAACTTTCAGCTTTCCTGGCCCAGTGGTTCTTGAGAAGAAGATTTTTTAAAGATATGTTGTATATATTTCAGTGTAAAACTTGGATTCCCTATTGTGGCCCCACCTGCCCTACCCCCAGAGGTCATGATTTTAACAATTTAATATCTGCACTACCCAAGTATGCTTCCACATAAGTTTCAGCTTTCCTGGCCCAGTGGTTCTTGAGAAGAAGATTTTTAAAGATTTGTTCTATATATTTCTATGCAAAATTTGGATTCCTTATTGTGGCCCCGTCCTACCCCCAGGGGTCATGATGTTAACAATTTTTAATATCTACACTACCCAAGTAGGCTTCCACATAAGTTTCAGCTTTCCTGGCCCAGTGGTTCGTGAGAAGAAGATTTTTAAAAATTTGTTCTATATATTTCTATGTAAAATTTGGATTCCTTATTGTGGCCCCGCCCTACCCCCAGGGGTCATGATGTTAACAATTTTTAATATCTACACTACCCAAGTATGCTTCCACATAAGTTTCAGCTTTCCTGGCCCCGTGGTTCTTGAGAAGAAGATTTTTAAAGATTTGTTCTATATATTTCTATGTAAAATTTGGATTCCCTATTGTGGCCCCGCCCTACCCCCAGGGGTCATGATTTTAACAATTTAATATCTACACTACCAAAGTATGCTTCCACATAAGTTTCAGCTTTCCTGGCCCAGTGGTTCTTGAGAAGAGGATTTTTAAAGATTTGTTCTATACAGTACAGGCAACGCGGATCCAGTATTTCCCGCGTCCCCGCCGCGGTATAATCACAACGCGGTATTTGGCCGGGTAGACAGGTAAACCGCGTTCCCTCCGCGGGAAATTCATCACTTACCTGTCCCCGCCGCGGTTAAATCATCTATCAATTACTGACAATTAGTATCGTAAACAAACGGGAGTTATCTCCCCGAATTGTAATTTGCGAATTTTCCCTGTAACAAAAAAAAAAAACAAAAACAAAAACAAAGAAACAAACAAACAAAAACAAAAAAAACGTGTGTTTATTCATAAATTTTGCTATGAATAGAATTTAAACTAAGAAAAAATAAGTTTATTTTTGTTTCTAAAATTACATATCAATCTTTGAAATTGAATAGAAAATTTTAATAAATTTTTACGTCTTCGCAATTGGTTAATTATTTTGTGTTATTAAGAATCTATCAAGAAACAAAATTAAATACTAGAAATTTTAATTAGTTTTTTTTTTAATCTTCATATTATATGCAAACTGTAATAAATGTTGAACTCAGACTGTTTAAGTTTCGATGAACGATTTTCAGCATTCATTTGAAAAAAAGATGTACATCTTTTAAAAAATGTACATCTTCATATTGTTTATTAATTAATTTCGATTTATTGTATATAAAAAGTACAGGCTTTTTCTTAAAGTGTCAAATTACCGGAAAACATCCGATGACGAGCATTTGCAGTTACATGTAGTGGGCACGTGAACTTAAATTTTCTTTATCCAAGATATCAAGAAAAAGTTCTATTCTTCCTTATTTCTCATCGTTTATGTTCTGTTCCCAAATTAAGTTAATTTAATTAATTAATTTTCTTTAATGTATTTCCCTCTTTTATATAAATATGCATGCATTTTTCTCAAATTGTCAAATGACCGGAAAGCATTCGATGACGAGAGTTAACTTTGAGCACGTGAACTTTATACAAGAGATCAAGAAAAAATATCGTTTATCACCTTCACATTAACATGTTTTACTTTTTAATACAATGTATTTCTTTTTAATTTTAATATTTCTCGATTTTCGTGTTCAATAGATAAGATAGGATGTGCAGGTGTAATGATAAACTTCACAGACGAAATTATAGTTTATATTAATAAATATTCAATGCAAAACTTCATATATTTTTGTTTTCTTTGACAAATTCTGTTTCTTTGTGTATTAAGTATTAGCCGCGATCATTTCCTGTGTATAGGGATTAGCAGTGCCTGAGCAGGAAACGACATGCCCTGGGGGTTTCACACCGGTCTTATAGTATACCTTGGGTAACGCTCGCTGGATGTGCACATCGTTGTCTAGCCATTCAACAACACATTTGATTCATTGTTTCATTATTATTTCATCGATATCATTTTCAGATACGACTTAGCCTTGGAATTTGTGTCAAATTATTGTTGCTTTTTTTTTTAAACGGAGTGCATAAAAAGAATAAAAGTAAAAAAAAAACTATTAAAATAAATTAATGAAGTATTTGATATTAATTAAATCAAATAATGATCCATTACTATGTTATTTCGTGTCTGTTTATATCTGTACCAGTTAGAAGATTGAAAGAGAGAGAGAGAGAGAGAGGAGATAGAGAGAAGAAAAAATCACAATTTTAAGGCACGTGCATGATCGTTTTTCCTCCTTTTTGATCAGTATATCAATTTCTTAAGTCTAGCGAATAAAACTACCGCTGATTTATCAGTTTATTGACCATTCGTCGAATTTGTCTAAGTTTTATTGTTATTTATCGAGAGACTTGTTTATGATCCACTTTCTTCTTTCGTTTAACATATGTACATGACATGTAATTTGAATTACTTCCCTTTTTGTCGCCAGATTACAACAACAAATTTTGGTGGTAAAATAAAATGTATTTTTGTTATAAAATTTGATTAAGAAAAACACAGTATATCAAAATTGTCGAATTATTGAAAATATTTATTTGAAACAAAAAATTTATAAAGGATTCTGTCTGCAACAAAAACATTCTTTATTTCATGCATTTCAATTCATGAGCTACACATGAAAAAAAAAAACGGCTTCGTTTTACAATGTCTTAGGAAAACGCATACAGGTAATACACTCAGGTAACATCCTGTGTATATAGGTAGTATGTACACTAGACAGCGTCGTTCCCTCGGGGCTTCTCATCCGCTTCGAGTAAGCTCCACTCCACACCAAACTTACCTGAGGAAAACCGAACGGTTACACAGACATCTGAAAACTTGAAGCATGGCAACTTGCTGATTAAAATAAGTTAATTTCTGTGTTGTGTGTTCAAATATTTTAAGGGCCCATATTTGTGTTTGTGTTTTATTTGAACCGGAGAAATCTGAAATTTGTTTATGTTCATAAACATGATTTTAGTAATTTTCGAAAAGAGCAGAAAATAGAAATACATTCAAATACTAGCTATGATATTATTGATATTCTGAATAGAAATACCTGTGATTATTTTATTAACAAGAACCCCCCCCCCCACTCCACAAAAAAAAAATCGTAAATATTTAGTTAATAGTGTTACAGTGTAGCGCATAATAATGGAGCAACGGTATTCCTACACTTAGGCGTGTTTTGTTAAAATTTAATCGTAATTATGTATCACTATCTATCATCGTTTTTCATGCTGTTATTTATAACAGACATGTATACAGAAGTAACGGTACTTTTCTAAATGAAACCAAATGACTGATATAATCTCGCAGATAAATAAACACATAGCTACATGTACATGTAACTGCAACTGCACGGGCTGTGAACGCCGGATTACAGTGCATATAAAGAGAAGCGATATCATAGCATTCTTTAAATCTTAATCATACCTTTTTAGCAATTTGAAGATCATTTGGGATGGAATTATTGATTTTGAAAATAAACTTTAAGTTAATATATTCGATAAATTATTCGACTTTATTTCATCCTATACTGTACATGTATTACTGTTAACAGACGTTTTTGAGAATTAATTAATTTTGAGTGACCTTTGGTAAAAAAAAAAGAAAGATTTTTTTTATTAAACAATTTGATAAAACTTAAAAATGAATTTTTAAAGAATCCATGTAATGGTATAAATCTGTTAATATTAATGTGATCGTAATCCTCCCCCCCCCCCCTCATTTCGACACGATTAAAAATCGACAATACTTTACAGGTAAGAACATCTAAGCTGAAGAATAATGGTAGCGGGCCCCGCCGCGGTGTAAACACGGTCTCAGGTAGCACCGCGATCAAAACCCGCGACGGTGTAACGCGGAAAGGATTAATACACCGCGGAGGGGACGCGGTCTAATACGGGATCCGCGTTGCCTGTACTGTATATTTCTATGTAAAATTTGGATTCCTTAATGTGGCCCCGCCCTACCCCCAGGGGTAATGATGTTAACAATTTTTAATATCTACACTACCCAAGTATGCTTCCACATAAGTTTCAGCTTTCCTGGCTCCGTGGTTCTTGAGAAGAAAATTTTTAAAGATTTGTTCTATATATTTCTATGTAAAACTTGGATTCCCTATTGGGGCACCGCCCAACCCCGGGGGTCATGATTTTAACAATT